CAGAAGGCACCTAGATCATCCGAAACTCTAAAAAAAATTCTCAGGGAGCACATTCCCTAGATTTTCTGATGAATGCCATCATCCAACTATCAAACAAGACATGGAACAAATTGTATCCCTCCAAAAATTGAAAATGCACGTTCACCCTCGGAGTTATTACATTTATGGAACCGAGCAAAATTTATTATGAATTCAGGTCACCTGACCAGTGAAAAAACTGGGTGATAAATGGGCCACAAAAATTGTGGGTAACCTTTATGAAAATAATTCATGGAAAGAAATAAAAGTGGGTTAACCTTTTGTAATTATTTTACAGGCTGAAAAAATTGGGGGTAACCTTTTGGAAATCGCTGCCGCTGCATGTTGGGATGCATTCCATGAAAAATACTTACATTATTTTCTTTTATTTACACCTTCTTGTAGCTGAGCAACAAGCTACAGTTTGGAGCTACCCTGAAGATGTTCAAGAATCAGAGACCCTACAGCAATCAAGAGTAGATTGAGTTGAAGTTACAATACTGCTGGTCTCGCTGTTAGTTGATTTTATCAATATTACAATTAATTATTTTGGATTTACTAATAACTACAATTTGAGAGAACAAGGACGGTGTCACTGCTGCTGGTGGTGGCGCTGCTTTAAATCGAGATAAATTGAATATGATTGTTCTTAACCTGTCGAACAGTTTGCATTAATATAAATATGATGAACTTGTCGAACTTTTAAACAGTTTTTAACCTGAATGAATTGGCTATTAAAAGTCAACCAATCAGATGACAAGGGTTTATTCAGGTGTTATATAAAACAAATAATGAATGTTTCACGTTCGTACAATGAAAAGAATAATTTCATTCGGTGACAGATGAAATGTTCCATTCCACTCGGCTTCGCCTCGTGGAATGGAACATTTCATCTGTCACCTCATGAAATTATTCTTACCATCGCACTCACCAACATTCATTATTTGTATACTACGTTTGCAAACTTCTACAACAGCAGATCGATTAGTTGGTCAAGCAGTTCTTGCGTCGGCGCCTTGACTACCGACTTTGAAGTATACAGGGCGAGTTTTAGGGACTAAGTTATATTATAAATATTTACCCTAAATTAATATCTGGAGTCTGCGCTCTAAACTTGCAGCGGCTTCTTCTGGACTCCTGGTTGTTCGTCAAACTTCTCTTGGTTTGGTCGATGATATTTATTTACAGGCGTATATACAAAAAGTAGTGTGTCCTTCCACGGGAACAGTCACTGTAAGGGGCAAACACTACCTAATGGTTCCTATTCCCGTATCCGGACACATATGGCATAAAAATGGCGACTGGAACTGTAGAGTAGACGACTATAACACTGTTAAGTCTCTACTCATCTTTTGAGGACTGCACTCCATGGAAGGAAGGAAGGAAGGAAGGAAGGAGTGGGGTGGTGAAATTGTTGTTGTTGTTGATGTGATGTAATGGCACGTTCGGCAAACTAGTGCCCTTTGTGCCATAAGCAATACTTCTGCGTTACAGAACAGTAGGCTAATCAGCAAAAAAAACAAAGACACTTCGTGAGAGCTGCGAGAGACAAAAAGAAAGATATGCCAAAAAACAAACAAGCAGTGACAGTTCGGTAAAGCATGGAGGCAGGAGTGGGGGGAGCGCGGGGTGGTGAAAGCATGCACTCCTGGTTTATATACCGACGCGTAGAATGGAATGCCCTGCCCTGCCCAGTCCAAAGAACTGAACACAATGGGCAATAGAACTCAAAAATGCCTTGGCCACTAGGGCAGAACTCGGAACAAAAAAGGACTTAACTGACTTTTTATTTCTTCGGCCAGGACTGCACATAATATATACAGCTGCTGTAGGAATTTCACTACAGTAGCCCCCTTCTAGATCACAGTAACGCAAAAATGTGATCGATATTAAAAAAAATATTGAATTACCAAAGTATTTACAATTTTTTTAAAATTTATTTACAAAGACTGTATGCAAATATCTGCCTGGCCAGCGTACACGCCGTCCAGAACGAGTGAATCTATATGATTTGTCTGGAGTATAATGCTTGATGGAGCAAATTGTTTCTGATCACTTTGTTGAACTCGAGTTGGTGTTTTGGACTCGAAATCAGTACGGGCAACCTTTAACCTATCAATACTAATTGAATCATGTTTACCATTGATGTCAAGAATGAAATATTTATTTCTTCTGTCAATGACGCGATATGGACCATTATAAGGAGGTTGCAGTGGCTTTTTGACAGCGTCTACACGCATGAAAACATGTGTACAGGTAAACAAATCATTAGATACTTGACTAGGGTGTTGGTTAGGTCTAGTTGATTTCGGTTTAAGTTCAGACATTTGATGACGTAATCGGTCAACATAACTGGCAGGGTCTAGGCTATCAAAATTTGTGACAGGTACTACTAACTCTCCTGGTAATCGAAGAGTGGAACCAAAAACTAGCTCTGCAGCACTACATCTAAGATCGGCTTTCAGAGATGAACGAAGACTAAGTAATATGAGTGGCAATGACTCAGTCCATCTGTTTTAAAGCTGATTTGAGGGAACGATGAAATCGTTCAACTAATCCATTTGCAGCTGGATGGTAAGCAGTGGTGCGAATACGTTTTGTACCTAGTAGTTGTGATAGATGCTTGAAAAGATTTGATTCAAACTGGCTACCTCTATCAGTAGTAATTATAGTAGGGACGCCAAATGTGGCTATCCAATTGCTGACAAAAGCATTTGCAACTATTTCTGCAGTAATGTTAGAAATTGGTATTGCTACGGGCCACCTGGTGAATCGGTCTATTCATGTAAGAAAGTATGAAAAACCATTAGATGGAGGCAAGGGACCGACGATATCAATATGTATTTGAAACGAGCGTCAGGTGTTGCAAAGGTACCTATCGGAGTCACTGTGTGACGATGTACCTTGGCACGTTGACATTGAATGCAATGTTTGGTCCACTGCAATTTCGAACATCTTTATTGATAAAAGGCCATACAAATCTTTGAGTTACTAAGCGTTGTGTTGCTCTAATGCCTGGATGGGATAGACCATAGAGTGAATCAAATATATCATGCCTAAACACTGATGGAATATATGGGCGTGGTTGACCAGTATCACAAATAATGGTATTATGTGATGTTAGAATAGGCAATGATTCTTCAAAATGAAGACTAGACGATTCACGTAGCTTAATTAGCTCTGTCTTCTGCTTAAGTGCTATTTGGTCAAAATCCACAATTGTGTTTGATAGGCTTGTGTGATTAAGTGAGTTCACGTCATACCTTGAGAGAGCATCTGCTACAACGTTTTCTTTGCCTTTAATGTGGCGTATGTCGGTACTGAATTGAGATATGTAGTCTAGATGACGAATTTCTCTCGGTGAGTAGCGATCTGGCTTTGCGTTGAATGCGTAAATCAAAGGTTTGTGATCAGTTATGATATAAAAATCACGACCTTCTAGAAAGTATCTGAAATGGCGTATTGATAAGCGGGATTTGTGTAATTCCCGAATTAAGTACTTACCTGCAATATTCCTGTTTCTCTGAAGCCTCCATTGAACTCCATTAGAAAGACCTCATACGCGTTTACCTATCCAACGCTAGGGGCGCCTTTCCCTAGCGTTTCATCGGGCCCTGTACAAAAAGATAATGAGTGTCCTCTGTTAATGTACGTACGCACATGCGTACGCACCATTGATCTCACGTCCTTGAAGCAGTGTTGGAGCAAAGGCTTTGACCCTCAAGGCCAAGGCCAAGGCTTTTACCCTCAAGGCCAAGGCCAAGGCCAAGGCTTTGACCCTCAAGCCTCGAGGCCAAGGCCAAGGCTTAACCCTCAAGGCCAAGGCCAAGGCCAAGGCCCTGTCTTATGAAATGACCACTGATATAGAACTAATTATAGTCACATGAGTGACACATCATTACGCAAGGGCGGATCCAGAACACAATTTGGGGGGGGGGGGCAAAGAAATTTTGGTCCCCCCCAAAAAAGTGGGTCAAAAAATTACGGCTTGGGCTTCGGGGCCCGCTTAAGGGCCCCGAAAAGTTTTTGGATTCGAGATACTCTGTGGTGCGATTTGAAGCAATTTCTGACCATTTTAACCGAAGGTTTTTTGAGAAAAAGATGGTGGTGTACTCATTGCCAGCCTTTATTACGACGTCACATAAAAGAAAATGGTTTCGGGTTTTTTTTGGGGGGGGGGGATGGCCCCTTTTGGCCCCCCTGGATCCGCCCTTATTGCTCGTTACGAAGAACAACATTTCTTTAATTGCAATCAACATGCTCGCATAGGCCTACACCGTTTTATGACTGCACTGTATCTATTAAAGTATAAGTTCAGGTCTTCAATATGGTTTAACTAAACAAAATAATGATTTACTTCTATATTGACACACAATTCTCCCAAGTGTAACAAAAAAGGGATCCAAGAAACTGATATGGGAAATTTTTATTTGCTGGCCCAACATGGTCAGAAATATCAGGATTATCTTAAACAGATACATGCAAATCTTATATCAGGGAGACATATACAACCTATCAGATCTATTCCATAGTTATATGCAATTAAAGTGATCATCATATTAGCCCCACAAGTGTACGGAATAGTTTTGCAGCAAATATACTACAATGGTAACAAAACGTGATGCTACAAAAGTGGAAGTGTGCCCAACACACAAATCTATAGGGTGCTTCCCTCCTCCATGGTAATACGATTAAAATGGTAACAGCAAAATTTCGAACAGATTTATCTGGAAAATGCAAAAATCTATGGGCCTTGAAGAGCCTTGACTCAAAATTGCAAGGCCCTGAACCCTCAAGGCCAAGGCCAAGGCCAAGGCTTTTGCCCTCAAGCCTCGAGGCCAAGGCCAAGGCCCTAAAATCCAGCCTTAAGGTAGCCTTAAGGCCAAGGCCCAGCATCAAGGCACTACATCACTGCCTTGAAGTCACCTTAATGGTGTTCCAAATTGCGCCCCCTGTCGTTATAAGTACGTGGGTAAAATAATATACACACAAGAAAGTACAGTATAGTATAGTAGCGGCGGATCTTTGGTTGGCCAGTACATGTACATGCTATGCATGCCATATGGTGCTGATATTATAACTAGTAATAGTAGTACAGTCTAGCAGGAAAGACGTGCATTTCACTTCGGCGCAAACATAACGGAGAAGTCGCCAATGAAAAAGAGGGTAACAATGTTTTTCTACTTATTGGATAGCCCTAGGCTAGCTTGAGTAGACCCGTGAACGTGGCTATTGCATAGCTAGCCCCATAAATGTGGCCTATTTACTGGACTGCCTCCGTAAACATAGGCCACACATCCACATGTACAAAAATCGTGTCGACGGAGCCAAATTTTGATTTTCACATTTAGGCTTAGTTTGTAGGTTTTTTTTGCTTTAGAAGCATACTCACCCGCTTTACAGGCTAATCAGAAAGTGCTGCCTTTTTCAGATGTATATTTTTCGTGAAATTTCCAGATTCATTTTTACACGTTTGCGTATCAAAATTTCAACATGAAATTTCACAAAAATTAGACATCTGAAAAAGGCAGCACTTTCTGATTAGCCTGTAAAGAGGGTGAGTATGCTTCTAAAGCAAAAAAACCCTACAAACTAAGCCTAAATGTGAAAATCAAAATTTGGCTCCGTCGACACGATTTTTGTACATGTGGATGTGTGGCCTATGTTTACGGAGGCAGTCCAGTAAATAGGCCACATTTATGGGGCTATTGCATAGCTTGACTTGAGTAACTCCAGCCATGCCAGCTGACATGCTCCATATTCATTCACATGTGAATGAATATGGAGCATGTCAGCTGGAGTTACTCAAGCTAGCTATTGCATAGCCACGCTTCAGTCTATAGTAAAAACACTCTATTGTTATCCGCGGTTACTAAAATGGAGTGACCGTTCTAGCCGAATTTCGGCTACATTTGACAGAATATTTGCATACAAAAATGAGTTGTACAGAAACTCAGCAGAATATTTTTTTCGGCAGAATTATGAAGATGAAGGGAAATGAAAAAGATTGGAAAGAAATATGGCACATTTGGTTTGAAAAACCTTCATTTTTTTAAAGATCCTTAAAACAAACCCTTGCACAATCATGACAATGGAACAGCAATATAAACTGGGTGATTTGGCGGACTTTCGAAGTGGATTTAGCAGAATTTTACGTGGTATTACGGTCATCCTGCCATGTAAGACGGTTAGTCGGGTACCCAATGGTGATACTTCTTACGTTTTGCACATGCGAAACTCGGGGTACCAGAGTGTCACGCCTGTCTTTGATTTTCTGATCATTTTGAAAACATTCGTTGTCACAAAGTTGTGCCGTACTTTACATCAAATTTCTTGGCAATGCCAGATCCAACACTCGCGGAAATTCACAGGAGGCCCAACAAGTAAGTGATATACCTATGGGCAAAATTATACATGGTTATATGTAGCGGATCAAAAGATAGAATGCTGTCGCTTGTATTTACCCGACGGAAGCGCGTGGCGTTGTATACAAAGCCATGTTCACGGGTCTATAGCTTAAGGCGAAGTAAAAAAAAAACATGTTTAGCGTCCCCGCCCGCTTCCTTTTTAGAGGCCGCCTCCTTTTTTTTTTTTTTTGATAAATTTTAACGATCTCTGACGAAAGAAATCATATTTTTAGACTGTTATACCGTGTATAAAGCTGTGGAAATAGTCAATGAGTCCAAGTTGCGGCCATTTTGAAAAAAGCTGGTAACCATCTTGAAAAATAGCCCGGCCGCGTTGTCTTGAAAAATGTGTCGGGCGGCCATTTTGAAAAAAAAAAAAAAAAAAAAAAGGGCCTCCTCCTTCCTTTTTGTCAAAGAGGCAGGACGCTAAACATGTTTTTTTTTTTATTTTGCCTAAACTCCAGCTGACATGCTCATATTCATTCACATGTCATGTAGCATGTGAATGAATATGAGCATGTAGCATGTGAATGAATATGAGCATGTCAGCTGGAGTTACTCAAGCTAGGATAGCCCCATAAATGTGGCCAATTTACTGGACTAACTCCTTAAATAAAGGCCACACTTCCACCATATGTACAAAAACATGTAGAAGTAGAACTTTGTCAAATTTTGATTTTCACATTGAGGCTTAGTTTGTACTTTGTAGTTATTGTACCGCTGTTACGCCCTAACTATGGCATCGATCCAAACGGTAATCCTTATCTTTAGGACACCCATGGGCGTCGCCAGGATTTTTTCTAGAGGGGGGCAAAAAAAATTTTGGCCAAAAAATGCTTGTATTTCTCAACACATTCTCGATTTATCAGTTTAAGAGGGGGGCAGGGACATTTTGCCCCCCCCCCCAACTCATTAAATTTACACCACTTTGTCTTCGCGCCTCTTTTTTTTTCTTTTCTTTTTCTTCTTTTCTTTTTCTTCCTTTTTTTTTTTTTTTTTTGCTTTTCCAGGGGGGGGGGGGGCAAGTGCCCCCCCTTGCCCCCCCCTCGCGACGCCCATGAGGACACCTCTATTTTTTACGAGTTCTGTTCAAAACTGACTTTTGCAGATGACTGTCCAGTACCAAAGTGACTTTTTCAGGCTAAAGCAGTCTTTTTTCTTCATATAAACTCATGTTAGTTGTAATTTTGAAAGCGCTTTCACCGAAAATGTGACTTTCCTACCTTTTTTTGCAGCCAGGTGCATGTTGCAGTTCTCACAACACGAGTGAAAGCCCTACATAATGAAAGCTTGATGCTGATTGGCTGCTAAAAAAATAAATAAGATGTTTATTTTTTTATCAGCCAATCAGCATCAAGCTTTCATTGCATCGAGCTTTCATGTTTGCCATCTTGGTTTAATTTGAGTCAGTTTTCTGGTTGTCACCGTCGTCTTTTACCCCTTAATTTCCCTCATAAATCAAAGCCCTGCACTCTTTCCACAAAATTAAACCTGCTGATATTCAAGAAGGTGTCACTGCCAATTGTTCAGATGTGTCAAGAAATATCAGAATGTCAATTTTGAGTGTCATTTAGTCAACTGTTTTGGTGAGTCTTTCCCTTCCTATATAGGAATGGGGTCCTAAAAGTAAGGATTACCATCCCAACTATAGTCGGAACCGTCCGGACGTGTCCCAACTGTAGTGCGACAGTTGGGTCGGCCCAACTGTAGTTAAGGCGCTCGCCGTGTGGCGTTGGATGAATCTGATGCTGTCATGAATCGGCAACATGAACAGCGGAGCTCAGAGCTGCTGGGAATGTTTAATAATTATATAGTTGTACCACAGCAAGTGGCCCCACTATAGATGGCCCCCACGTAGCTAATTTCAATGGTTCCAAGTAAAGTCAAACGTTTATCAGAGCTGTAGGGAATGTTTTAGTCGTACAGCAACGTTTAGTTTGGACCGTAATATAAAAAGATTGGAGTGGCCCAACTTCGATGGGCCCCACCCATAGCTAATTTCAATGGTCCCAAGTAAATGTCAGACGTAACAGAGCCGGGGAATGTTTTATAGTTGTACAGCAACGTAAACTATAGTTCGGACCGCAAAATGAAAAGATTATAGTGGCCCAACTATAGATGGGCCCCACCCATAGCTAATTTCAATATTTGGGACGGTCCCAACTATAGTTGGGCCAGCCCAACTGCAGAACTACAGTTGGGACCGTCCCAACTATAGTTGGGACGATCCCAGCTATAGTTGGGACCAATACCATAGTTGGGGCGTAACACCGGTACTTTTATTTTTGCTTTAGAAGCATACTCACCCTCTTTATAGGCTAATCAGAAAGTGCTGTCTTTTTCAGATGTCTATTTTTCATAAAATTTCCAGATTCATTTGCACACGTTTGCATATCAAAAGTTCAACATGAAATTTCACGAATCTTAGACATGTGAAAAAGGCAGCACTTTCTTATCATTAGCCTGTAAAGAGGGTGAGTATGCTTCTACAGCAAAAATAAACTACAAACTAAGCCTAAATGTGAAAATCAAAATTTGACAAAGTTCGACATGTTTTTGTACATGGTGGAAGTGTGGCCTTTATTTACGGAGGTAGTCCAGTAAATTGGCCACATTTATGGGGCTACTCATTGGAGAAAATTTGACCTTTGGAAAGAATGTTGCATCCTCACGCCACTTTTTTCATCATGTTATCTCAGTGAACATGATGAAGGTCAGTCATTGCAAAAATGTTGAAAAGACATCAATCTGGGACTAAGATAGCCCATGGAGGAAGGAACACAAACCTAGCTGGAGTTACCTCAGTCCCATAAATGTGACTGAAATACTGGACTACCTCCGTATTATCAGTCACGCATTGTGCATATGGTCTGTGCATGGATAGTCCCGTTGCTAGGGGAGCCGAAAATCAATTTAAGATTGGAATTATTTTGTCACTTGAAAATCACCCCAGCTATTAATTAGTATGACTGCTAAATAGCAAAAAAACGTTGAATTCGGTACCTTCAGAGGTCTAGTTATCCAAAAATCATGGTAATTCGACGTGGAATTCCGACGGTTTTGAAAAAGCATGGCGTCTCTGATATTTACCAGACTGTTTCCCGGCCCTCTTAAAATAGTCACAAGGCCAATGGGGTCAGGGAACCAGACTGGAGCTTTAATCATCCACTGAGTGTGCGTCAACTTTGGCAATGTGCACTGCGGCTGTTGCCTGTCATTCCAAAATCTTTGGAGCTCACTGAAGTACCCGGATGCACTACGTGGCCGCGGGTGAAGAGCGCACATAAGCCTCACGCAGAGAGCTCCAAAGATTTTGGAATGACAGGCAACAGCCGCGGTGCACATTGCCAAAGTTGACACACGCTCAGTGGATGAAACATTTCCAATTTTGGTAGAGGGAATAGCTTGAAATTTCCAGCTTTCTAGACTCATGACATGGGGAGATTCGCCAGGAAAGCTGGAACTACTAACCATACTTAGAATGCGGATTTCAAACCATGGTCGGTGATGGTCACTTTTTTGCCGATATTTTCCATTTCCATTAAAATTACAAGCAAAAACTCACCTACGGTGCAACATCCTACAAATCCTTTATGCAACAAAGGATCCTCTCAAAATGAAAATTCAATCAAGCTGAACCCTAAAAAAAGAGTGCAACTACTGATGTTAACAACCATTTAATTTGTCGCGTCATTTGATTTGTGTGCAGACAAATGGCAGATGTATAGTCCGCTATTATTATTATTATTATTAATATTG